AGCTGCTGCATCTGGCAACAGTAGGAAGCTGTTTCAACTCATCCGAGCCACCGGCAGCAAGAAACAAGGTGTCAGCGAGACGGTTTGTGAGGCAGATGGCACACCAATTACCAGTTTGAAAAGACGCCTGGAACGCTGGGCAGAGCACTTCGGGAAACAGTTTAGCTGGCCACCAGCTTCAATGTCTGCTGTCATTAGCTCCAGTGCTCCTTGGTCGGTCAATACCGACCCACCAACCGAAGCGGAGGTCCGTAAGGAACTCCAAGTGTTAAAACGCCATAAGGCGCCCGGCCCAGACAATTTACCCCCGGCTCTTTCCAAAGATGGTGGCGAGACTCTCACAACGACTCTAACTGGATTGTTCAGGAAGGTATGGGAAACTGAGAGTGTACCATCAATGTGGAACGAAGCCATCATCGTCCCTATCTTTAAAAAGGATCGACGTAATTCGTGTGACAATCATAGGGGTATCAGTCTGCTACCAGTCGCGTCTAAATTATTGGCTTCTGTCTTGCTTCGCAGGCTGTGCAAAATACGTGAAGGATTGATTCGCGAAGAGCAGGCTGAGTTTCGTTCAGATTGTGGATGCATTGATCAAATGTTCACACTTCGTCAGTTGTTGGAACACCGCCACACGTATTGCAGGCCAACGATCGTTGTGTTTCTTGATATTAGGGCTGCCTTCGATTCGTTGGACAGAACTGTGCTCTGAAACTGTCTGTTGGAGAGGGGTGTACCTGAGAAGTTTGTTAACATCTTGAAATCCCTATACAGAAACATCTCAGGTAGAGTGAGGGCATACAACCAACTATCATCACTGTTCCCAACCAACAGTGGGGTTAGACAGGGTTGCCCAATCTCTCCATTTCTCTTTAACTTTGCCATCGATGACACGCTGTAGTCATCTCTGAAGGATGTGCGTGACGGTGATGTAGATCTGTTACCCAGAGATAGACTTTTCGACCTCGAGTATGCAGACGATATCGTCTTACTGTGCGATAGCATACAAGCTTACAAAATCGCACCTAATTAGTTGGCGATCAGTGTCTGTAAGTATGGTATGCGCTTTGCTGCATCTAAGTGCAAAGTAGAGTTACAAGATTGGCAGGAGCCTGTGCCTTCACTCACTCCTGCAAGTGAACCACTTGAAGTTGTCGATAAGTTTGTGTATCTGGGTAGTTGTGTGAGTGCTGGCAGAGGGGTGACGGATGAGATTTCCAACCGTATCATGAAGGCTAGGGTGGCATACACCAACTTGAGCCACCTCTGGCGCCATCGTGACGTTAGCCTGGCTGTCAAAGGTCGGGTATACAACGCTTCGGTACAGGCTATCTTGCTCTATGCCTATGAAACCTGGCCCCTCCGAGCTGAGGATGTGCGGCGGCTCTGCGTATTCGATCATCGCCGTCTCCGCAGGATTGCTTGCGTTCGATAGCATCATCGCGTGGATAATTCTGTGGTTCGGCGGGGTGTGTTTGAACACAGTGAAGATCACCATTCATTGAGTGTCGTTATCTGGAAACACCGGCTTCGGTGGCTTGGATATGTGCTACGAATGTCATCCTAGAGGCTTCCGTACAGGTCTCTGTTCCCTAGCCCTGGGACGGGATGGAGAAAGCGTAGAGGTGGTCAGTCCGTGACGTGACGTCTTGGGGGGAAGGATATTTGTGCTGGGTTAGCTTCGGTTGATGCGTCACGACTCTCTGGTTGGGGTGCGATAGACAGCTTGAATCGATGGCTCGAAATGTTATCGGATATGGTCAAGAATCGTAATCAATGTCAAACGTGTTGCGATTTCCTTCTTCCTTCCCTTCCCAATGATAGCTGACGAATACTGTTTGAACTTGTTAAGTATGGCTTTTTCCTTCCTGATGAATTTTTTTCCCTTCTCCACCCATATTTTTACTTTTAATCTATGTTGTTTTATTATTATTGTGTGGCGCATCTTCTTGGTGCCATATTGTACCAAGTTTTTCTGCGTTTAAATAATAAAAATAATAAAAAATATATTTTTAAAATCTTCCTCATAACAATCTTTGTTATTCCTGTATCCAGGTATTTTTTACAGGTTGCAAATAGTTTCACATATCAGTTGTTTTAGATGTGACAAACAGTTGACTTAGGTGACTTAACAGATACTTAGACGTTATCCAACAAATGATTTGTCCTCAGCACATTCCATCTCTCGTCTGAGTCTACATTTTAAATTTCGAATATTATTTCATTGTTGCCCAAATTTTTATTCGACTACTTTTTAATATCTCATTATGAATCTTATTTCATTATCTTTGGTTTATTGTGTATTGCAATTTTATTTCTTAATAGGTCTGATTAGGAATGTGTCTTGAATTGTTTTAATTGTTGCATGACTAGAAGTAATAATAATAGCTTCATTCCAAATAGTGTTTTGTACAATGCAATGTAACACGAATTCACTTTTCTTAAACATTATTTATGCACCGCATTACTCAGCTGAAGGTCATTGTGAAAGCCTGTTCTCTTAAATGTCTTAACTGGAAAAACTCGAAATTGTGCTGAATCATACTTTTCGATGTTACCATTCAATGGAAACAGAATTCTCCGACAGTGGTCAGAAGTTAGTTTCACTTAGTAGCGTCACGAACGGAACTTCATAATATGTGGAAATTAATAAAATAATCTTTTTAAATTTCATAATATACTGTTTTCTCTACATCTCATACAGTTCAAAGTATTTTTCTAACAACTAACAGTAATCCCAGACTCTTGTTGGCGTTCACATGGTATTTCCAAGTAATTCTGAGTATATAGTTTCGGCGAAATATTACAAAACCATCTCTTTCTGTCTTCTTTTTGACATCTATTAGATATTTCCCAAGCTTCATAAAAAAGGAGATACTTGAACACACGAGGATAATATCATTGAGAAGGACGGGGATAGATAGCAGTGATAACTGACTTTACATTGATTGACGTGAAATTTTATGCAAAACAGTCTCTCGTTTGGTTTTTAAAGATTAAGCAAGTGATGGAAGAGATTGCGAAATAACTGAGTGGCCATTCTGTTGTCGAAGTCATAAATTGGAAATGAATGGCTATGTTTCCTGGAATAATTTGAGCGCCGAGTCACATTGATTCATTATAAATTATTTAAATTAATCCCAGCGTGTTAAAAAAATCAAAACAAGATTTTTCTGAACGTTTCGCTGTGTAAGCCACAGCTTCTTCAGCAGATTTATGTTGCCTAGTGCTGAATCTATATCAACAGTCGTTGATTTCATTCTTTAACATCGTGTTTTCAGGTAATTTTATCCAACAGCGCATTTTGCAGGAAGAGTGTGGGTTTGTATGATACGTGTTTGAACCGGCCTAAATTGTTCACCAGTGATTGATTTGTTCCTTAAGTTTTTAAGGTCTTACTTCGCACTAACATTTTTTATTTTAAGCATTAGATATCGAATATTCTATTTTCATCATACTATGCATACCACCAGTCTATATACATGATATGTTTCTTTAGACAAAGCACGTAATCAAAGTGTTCACTTAATTGACTTTCAATGGCTTCACAACTGCGTCATTTTGTCTACAGTATGTTGATTTCTGTGGTAAAAAGATCGTTTAGTGTATTGTATTCATAAAAGGCCTTAGGTGTTCTAAAGTATTCATTGTATGTATATTATAATTGTATCCTTTAATTCCTACAGGAACATAGGGCTTCAGCCGTGCGTCTCCATTGCATTCGGTTCTCTGCTAGAGTCTTCACCTGGCTCCATGTCTGCCCACACGTTTTCATCTCCTCTTCACATGACCTCCTCCAAGTCACCCTTGCACTGACGACCAACTCGCCGCTTCCCTTTCGGGTTCCACTCGAGCAATGGCTTGTCAAGTGATGTCACTTGATGGTTTCTCTGCTCAGAGTATGGCCAATCCATCTCCATTTCTTCCTGCCTATTTGTTTCACAATTGGTTCGTGGTTGGTTCGCTCCCAGAGGTCCCTATTGCTGATCCTTTCTGGCCATCTGATCTTGAGTATTGAGCGAAGGCGGCTGTTAATGAAGGTCTGTAGTTTGTTTGAGATGCTCTTTATGACGCGCAGTGCAAGTCTCTGATCAGTATAGTAAGTAGCACTGACTGACTTCACATTGGAGTTTAAAATCCGGATCTTATTTTTGATGCTGAGAGTTGTTGACCTCCACACAGACTTGAGAGTAGTGAAAGCTTGTCTTGCTTTCCCGATTCTTGCTTTGATATCCTCGTCAGTTCCGTCTGCCTGTAGTTGAAACGATGCTTCCCAGGTAGGTAAAAGAGGTTGTTTCTTTCAGGTTCCTCCCATTTATGCTTCATTGTATGTAGTCACAATAATTATCTGTACCTGCTAAATTGCTGAAACAGCTGCGAAAATGAGTCGTCTAAATGTAACTCTTATTTCAAATGTTTACAGGCATCAATACAAAGGATTTCAGTGCGCGATATAATTCACGCCATTTTATAGTGTTTCACACATTCCTTACCAACGTTATCATTAGATTCAGTTTATATAATGAGGAAAATAAATTCCGTAATTCCCTGAGAATATTATTAGTTTCAAAGGCAGCTAAAATTTAGGATGCGTGAATCAATCAATCAGTCAATCTTTTCAGGAAATCAGTACTTATCTTTTACGATCAAACAGTTCAAATGGCTAACAGATTTTTCTGCAGATATTCTTAAGAGCAGTACTATATGCTTGTTTTATCAGACATGTTTGATTAGCAGTGAAGGATCTCAGCATTGTTTGGAGTTTCATTCGTTTTCTGAATTAATTATTGTAATACAGGTAAAGTGTAAATTTTCGCATCATACAATTTAATTTGATACCAACTGCTTTTCATGTATTTCTTATAGATGAGATTCATTAATAAACTCATATTTCGATTAAAAAGAAGCACTAATGTTAGTATCAATTTTATGCCTAGCTGTATATTTATCACATAATTTAGGTGGGGATTGCTCCGTTCTTTTAACACTTGGATTTCATCTTAGTACTGTCTGTCATCCTTTTGTATCCTAGACTCAATTGATTTTCTTCGTGTATTTGGCACACACTTGTCAGGTTTTTTCTGTTGGTCATCTTGTGGGATTTGAGAATGTGCTGGTTTTTTCTCATTCTGGACTCTAGTCGTTCCATTTGAAACCGAAGGCCTTGGTTTTCCCTGAGATTTCAGTTGTAGGTTTGGGCGATCTTGGAAAGAACACCAAAATACATTAAGGTATAAGTTGTACGAATTTATATAGAATACAGTATTGCATATTTGTATATATATGTACTAACGCTGGTGGCCTAATGGCAGAACACTGGCTAACCATGCAAGTGGTTCAGGGTTTGATCCCCGGTAGACGCATACATTTATCTCGCTTAGCCGGTAGTAAGCCCAGTAAGGAAGGTAGCTTCGCTGTGAGACTATCTACCCCATCTCGTAAAAACACCACTTCTGCTGAAACTTCTAAGCTCTAGCTTCAAGCCGTATGTTACACTGGGAACGAAAATGAATAAATTAAAAAATAAAATATATATCCAGTCTTCAAGTGTTGGTTTGTAGGGACTTGATTGATTGGTTACAGTATTTCATCGTAAGCTGAGATTGGTTAGAGAACCATTGGAAAACCTGGGAGTACTGGACAGCTGTTTCGTCCTAGTTTGGCGGGTGCGTACTGATGAACAGTCCCAAAGTATGGCGAAACAGTTGTCCAGCACTCCCTGGTTTTCAATGCTTCTCTAACTGATATCAATCCGTGATCAACTCGTAAAAGCAAAATTAATCCTTACAAACCAAATATAGAAAAAATAATGTAATTCGGTTTTGTACAATTTGTTTAAGATGTATTCCACTGTCAGTTACATTTATCACGCAAGAATTTTCGATACTATCTGACTGGCCAAACAGAAATAGTAAGAGGAAGGCTCAGATTTGGGAAAGTTAACTGAAGCACAACCATTGTGGATACCAAGCTGTATTACCAGAAATCACTTAGCGTGGAGTACGCATATAGCTCCAATGTGTGTATTCCATTCACTACTTACCTTTTATTTGAGAAGGCGTAGAAATGATGTCTGGAGTAGTTACTGCTCTCGTGCTGTTCAGACTTATGCAGAGAACTAGGTGTATGAAATTAATTTGAGTAAGTGAAAATTACCAGTCGAAGTATCAGAGCATAGAAAAATCTATATTATGTAAATTAAATGTGATCGCAGACATTTCCTCTTTAATTCTGCATTAGACTTCACTATAGTGCAATACCAATTACCGTATTCTTTCATTCGCTCCTGAGTTTGTCTATTGTGGTATCATAACAGTTCTGTCAGTGCTTTGGAAAGCTGCAAACTGACCTCACACACGTCAATATAAATATGTAGATTGAATTGTTGGATTATAGTACTGCCAACATAATTGTTTGAATGGCTCAGATATACATGAATCAGTTGATTAGCAAACGTTAGTTTTCAGATTTTGGTGAGAGCTGTCTACTGGCCAAATTGGTAGACAGTAATTAACGTCAATGTTTACGTGCCCAATATTGATCGTGAGAAAAATAAGAACAAAGACAGATTCAAGAACCAATCACAGCGTAGGTGGATACAATTTGCAGATAGATAATCTGAACTTCAAGAAACGGCCACAAAGAGATGAAAGATTAACGTTCAGCAAGAAATCACCAATCAGAAGACTGTGTTTGCTTGCTTACAATAATCTATAATAATGTACATGAAAATCTATAAATATCTGTTGATTTCCTAAATAAACGATCTGTTGCCTGGCCCTTGTCTTCTGTTGTTACAAGATAACTCCTGATTTTGTGAACATAAACTGAATAGGGGTGTTTTTGATACACACATTCACTTATTCTGATAGTGTTCTTAAAGGCAATATACAACGTGTAGAATATATTAAATGAGCAGGTTGTTGGATCATTTCATCTTTTCCAAGAGTGAAGACGATTGTAAAAATAAAAATTTAACCGAAAGTTCTATATAAAATGGGTAACAAATGGTGTTGCTATGGGTTCACCAGTTTCCCCAATAGTCGCTGATCTTTTCATGAATAGATTCAAAGATAACATCTTTTCAAGCATACTCACTCCTAAAATATGGTAAGATATGTAGATGATACTTTTGTAATGCTAAAACGAGATCTACACTGTCCATTCCTGGAGAAAATAAACTGTGTATCTCCCAGAATCCAGTTCACTTCGAAAGCAGAATCAGACGTCGGTGAACTACCATTTCTAGACTGCCTGGTTAAGAGGAGGGAAAACGGACATTTTAGTATATCTATATTCAGGAAGAAAATCCACTCCAATAAATATTTAGACTTCGGATCATCACACCCCATCAGCGCAAAGGTATCAGTTGTTTCAAGTCTTCTTAGACGAGCACACCCTCTGATAATGGATGAGAAAGAAAAAGAAGTAGAAATATCAAACATTACTGAAACTCTCAAGCAAAACAACTACCCAAAGAACTTCACAAACAAAATCAACACAGACATTAAGTATGGCCGAAAACGCATTCCGAAAACATGGACCTCAACAGTCGTCATTCTATATAGAGTGGAGACGTCAGACGATATCAGAAGAGTACTCAATAAGCTCGACATCAGAGTTTGCTTCAAAACATCAAACACTGCAAAACAACCTTGTCCATATAAAAGACTAAATCCCTAAAGATTCTCTATCTAATTGTGTCTATAAAATAAAATGCTTGAAATGTGATGCGATATATATCGGACAAACCTATCGAGAAATCAAAATCAGAAGAAATGAACACCGTAGAGCATCTGTTCCACCACTGAGAAATTCGGTTGAATTAGAAAAGCTTGAAAATTCATCAACACGCTATAAAACCAGGCCACACAATTGACTTTGACAATAGTGAAATGAAGTAGTGGCCGTAGAAGGAGTGCAATATTCGAACATCTCGTCACCACTGGTCATTCCATCTCAAAAAATGCCTCCTTCAAAGTGATCTACAAAGTGAAGAACAACCTGCCAAAGATAATACGTTTCCGTCTTCTTTGCATTGCAGAAGCCCTAGTCATTCAGTTAGAAGAACCAGAACTATGCATACAAAAGAAAATCATTCAACCACTTCTACTATCATGGTAACAACTCTGTTGATTTGACTTAACTTTTACTTGTTTGCTTGTTTTTCTAACTGCTTAAAACTCTTAAGTAATTCCGTATGTTATTTTGTTTCCATGTACACCCTGAGCATAACTCTTTCATGAAATTATTCATGTTATTGCGTAACTCTTCTTTAACAATCGTTTTTGACAACTCATCACTTTTGTTACTACCCTCTTATATCAACATCCAATCCATTTGAACTTACTGTATTTTCGTTTGACAAATTTAATGTACACAGACAGACAAAACACATAATATTTGCGATTGTACAGCTGTGAAAATGAATTCACCGAAAAGAGACTCTTCGCTGAACTACTGGTCTTCTGTCTATAAATATTGAAATAATCCAAAAAAATTTCTGAAGTTAGAAAGAACGTCTAACATTATCACAAGCACTTCATATCAAGTGGAATCCAAATTGTCTGAATAGGAATGATGGACTAAAACAGAAACTGACCTGGTTACAACACCTCCCTCCATGATATGACAAAATCAACGTGTTGTGATAAGCAATTTCATTATGTAAACACACGCTACTTTTATAATTTTACGCACTTATCAAATCTAACAATCTACACCTGGGTTTGTTATATTTACCAATTGGCCAATTTGACAACCCCATGCTTAGGAACGATGATTAAGTTGTTATATATAAGCTGAGTAGATTTTGTAAATTCTGGTTTAATAATACTTTGATAAGCCTATTAAATAGCGAAACGTCAGTAAAAACAGCAATATTATTTTGTTTTTCATTCATTGGGAAATACAAAAAACCTTTATTATAATTTTCATAGTAGTTCTCCTAATTAATCTTCTAGAATAATTGTGTAAATTACAGTACAAGTGGAACATTCTAACAGTCTGTACTGTTTCCTTCTGTGGATCATTTGCAGTAGTTATTTTCAATTAACGGGCTTATAAAATGTTTGTCGCGATTAATTCTCCTAACAGTTATTTTTAAAGCGAATATTACAGAATGAACTGAATTAATTTTATTTCATTTTGCCCACCGTAAATCATATGCATTGAATGTGAATGAAGCAGAATTTAATGAATTCATCAAATTTCGGCAGAGCTGTTAAGTTGAAAACTTTACATAGAGTGGTATATGTATATATGCTGGGAGAAATATATTTGAAGATATGTAACTGATAAGTAAGTGAACTACAGTTAATGAATCATGAAAAACGACAGGTATGCATGATTTACAGGTCATGTTCAGATAAATAAGGGCATGGCCATATGACAGACTAAAATTGATGAGCAATTAGTCGTAAGAGAGAGAACTTCAAAGTGCCAGGAGATGCAAAGTGAATAACAGTGATAATGAAACGAGTTATGATGATGGTGTGGTGACAGCTGGCTGCAAACCAAAATTGTAGACAGCAATTTACGTCAGTGTTACGTCCCGAATCAGGGTCATGAGAAAAACAATAAAAATGATAACCTTGAGGAACTCACCAACCAACCACAGCAAACTTAACGTGTGCAAACAGGATTCGCAGGCATATGGCTTAACTTTCTGAGAAACAGTCACAAGCAGTACAGAATAACCTTTAGCAAGAAAACAACCAATCAGAAGACGTTGCTTCTCCGCTGACAATAATGTACATAAAAATCTATAAATATCTCTTGATTTTCTCAATAAACGATCTGTTACCCGTCGTTACAATGGTGCCGACGAAAAGTAGTTTCAGATTAGTCAAGAATAATGATAAGAGATGGGAGAAAATATTAATAATAACAACAGTTAACGAATCAAAGATATTATTACCGTAGATTCAGAGTGACCACCATATATATATATATATTTGATGGTTGGAGGCGATCGGCAGGAAGCCTTGGACCTAGGTTTCGTGCTAGTTGGCACTCGTCAGCAAGACGCGGGTTCGAATCTCAGAAGGGACATGAGTTCCTTCAAGGTTGCAGATACGCCTTGCCTACTGGTGAGTGTCAACTAGCACGAAACTTAGGTCCAAGTCTTCCTGCCGATTTCCTCCAACCATCTAATATCATCACAAACAATGTACACCGTGATGGCGAGCTACCTAGAATGGTGGCCACATTACAACCTGACTGATAGAATTCAGTCTGCACCAAAGAGAGGACTAGACGCATCACACTAGTTACTAGCGTCAAATCAAAATATATATATTTATAGGTAAGTATAAATCACTGTATGTAGAGTACTCAGCTGAAGAATGCTAACCATATCTAATGAATTTAGTAAATCCTAATTTATTTAACTTGTGTTGCCTGTTTTAAAATGAAACAATTGCAAGTGGTTACTAAGATGACAAATCACACTGTAAATTCGATGTTGAAAGTAATCGGAACTTAAGCTAGTAGAATAGTGGAAAAGTACAGTATGGACCAAGACTAGAAGGCAGTGGATGAAATTAAATCGAATACAAATGACGTGCAAAACAATATGAGGGTTGAATGAATGACTGTAGGTAAATAGTAAGGAAATTAATAAAGCAGTCCAAGACGAATAGCAAAATCTTTCTCTGGGCTTAAATTGCTTTGCTTCATCTTGAGCAATTGAGTTGTACACAAAGATTTAGAGCACTTGGAGTGAGCTCGCTTCAGCTCATCGTTTGTTACCAATTCTCAACAAAAATTTAAAAAGATGACTTGAAAAATCGGTGGGGAAAAGTTTTTCTTTTTCAGCTTAGGCAATCAACTTTCAAGCAATGGTTATGACTTTCAGACTATTCTTCAGTTTAGTCAACTCATTCATCTAGTTGTTATCACAAATTCCTACTTACTGGGTATGGCGTACAATTTAATACACAAACATACGGGATCTTGAGCTCATTTCTCTTACATCGCTATTATGTAATGTGAGTTGATCAATCAACTTGGAATATGAAAGCAATTTAGTGAACTCAAAAGAAAAAGTTACCTTCATAAGTCTGTTCCCAAAGTGGTAGAGCTAAGTTTGTTGTAGAATTCAGCTGACAGTTGGGTGATGTCAGTGAATTCAGGACTGGATAGAAGGTACTGCTGTTGTTGTTCATGAATGATGTGGTTGTATCTGTTCGAAGGGATGACATTCGATTAGAAACTGCAAAGTCTAGAAGTTGTTGTATTCTCTGAAATATAATCATGTCAGGATTCGGAGTAAACCGTGTATCCACATCAAGCATCCGACCGACTAGATCTCGAAATGTACCCAACTAAGGAAAGTAAAAACAGATTATATATTTATATATGTCAGTGTTTGTGAATATTAACCGTAATAATGCCTAAAAATCAGAGTAATATATGGCAGTCCTGAACCTAAAAGTCATTTGTTACCTGGAAATTTCATTTTTCTTATTGTTTTCCGACTCAACCGCCAACAAAACAAACAGAAGAAATAAAAATTCTCATTTAATACAGATTAATGTTCGAGAACCTTTCGCCTGCTTCATCCGCGTCTTTTGAAAAGAGTAGCCTAATAGCAAACCTGATCCACCATTCTTGATAAAGCAATCGAAGGAGGCAGTTAACGAAGAATGGTGCTACTGTTGTTTCATAGTAAAATATTCAAAATGTATGAAAGGGACTGCAGTATACTGAATACGGTTTGATTCAACTTTATACCTGCGTCAGGCTACTTAGAATTTCATTTTACCTTGTAGAATGATACTTCATTGCCAAATACAAATGCTAGAAACTGGAATAGTATGAGCTGGTTTTAAGGCTTTTGAAGTCCTATTCGGAATGTATTTTAGAGTCTTCAGTTTTAAGAATTAAAATGTTACTATAACATCTCAACGTAGTTTAGTAGTTAATCGTTCTTAACTATGATTCCCTCTAAACGTACTGCAATACCCTGCTAACCGAATATTTTGAGCTTATGAAGACAAACAACCTCGCCTAGTTAACTAGCTGACTAGTTTTCTAGCCGGTCCCAAGCCCGGGCAAAGAGGGAGGATTGGGTGTGGGACTAGCAACCCTATACCATAAATCTTTCAAACCGTTAAAGAAACTTCAACATATAGAAAATATATTAAAAATACAAAAACTTCAAATAAAAATATTATTCTTCCCTCGAATCGGAGAAGCGAAATGAAACAGTGGGCTGATGAAAGACAGCCTTCAGGAGGCCAGTCAGCCAACAGAGGTGTCTTCTTTCGATGAAAGCAAGAATAAGAACGGGGACGTGGAAAGTTCGTAAAATGTACGACGCTGACTGGGTAGACTGCCTAGGCAGCCAAAGAAATGCGAAGATATGGCTTAGAAGTGCTGAGAATCTGTGAGAGTAGATGGAATGGATGTGGATGATTGTCAACTGGAGAGTCAGTAATCTACTCTGGTCTGGTCACACAGACGACAGCCACGAGCACACTGAGACAGTGAGTAGGTATCATGATGTTACCGGGAACAAACAAAGCCCTAATGCAGTGGGAACCAATTTCATCCAGGATCATGACAGCAAGATTCAACTCAAAATGAAGGAAGGTCACAATTATCCAATGCTTTGAATAATGCTATAAACAACGTGGAACAAGAGAAGTGAGATTTCTATAGCTAACTACAAGCAATAATGGACAACACCCCAAACGGTGACATCGAACTCCTTTTGAGCGATGTGAATGCTAAACTAGGGGTAGATAATACAGGAAGAGAACTCATCATGGATCAGAGAACTCTTCGTAAACTTCTGCTCTTTCAATGATTTGGTGATCAAAGAGAGCTTGGACAAACGCAAGGATATAAACAAGGCAACGTGGATTTCACCTGATGGACACACCACAAACCAGATAGATTTCATCTCAATGCTGCTCAAGGAAGTGAAGAGGCAGCCTGCTGGATACAAAGTCGAGAAGGGGAGCAGATGTGGCCTCGGACAATCATCCAGTTCTCTAGTTTCTTCCTTCCGTCCATGGTGAACATATATTAGTGAGGTCGATTCCCTGGCGTTTACTTGTTGCCGCATATGTATGTTAAAATGCAGCAGACCCAACAGCTCTATAAGGCAAGAAACCTCAGTACTGATTCTGGTAGTAAGAAATATTTCATATTCACTCAGGTGTTTATATGAGTTTTCTTGCATATAGTATGGTAACTTTTCCTTTTTTAAGAAAACGATACATTCCCGAAAAATCTTGTTCTAGTTGAACAAATCATATTCAAAACTGATTGTAACTTACGGTTTTCTTTTTGTTATGTGCATCGACCAAAAGACTTTTTGCCATTTTAAAAGCTTCTTGTTTACTTTGTGATTTCGAATTTTGATGTTCAACTAACTTTTGAAGTTTCTCTAATCTTTGTGTTTGAATTTTCGAAGAAGTATTCAATTTGACTATTGTTTTGTTAAGATCATCAATCTGTTTGTCCTAAAGTTTAATTTTTAAAAGTACTTATCTATCAATTTTTGACCGAAATGTGGTATGCAGACGAAAAGGCAAAGACCTGTAAACAAATAAACCATCTAGTAGAATGTATTTTGAACGATGGATACTGCCGATGTTAGCGTAGATTCTTGTTTCAATGTAGAAAATAGTTTATGTGAAAGAGATTATATAAAATATATGTATGATCCACCGTATTACGTAGCGTAATTCCTGGCAATTTCAGCACGTACATACAATTAATTTTGTGTTTGTTTGCATATATCAGTCAACCTGCTTCGGTGAAGCCAGGTATATTATTTATTCCATGTGTATCTTGTCTAAAAGAGTCCAAGAATACTATTCCACACGGTTGCCATAATGTAACAGCAACTCCATAAGGAGTGTAATAATCGGACTTCTTGTTGACACATGTTAGTCTTTCATCAGAACCCCCTTTTAAGTGGTCTGCAAAGTGAAAAGTGACCAACCAAAGGCAATACGCTCTCACCTCTTTTGCACTGATGGAAAGACCAGAGCTTTTCATACAAAAGGGAATTCAGCAACCACTTATACAATCATGGTAAGACCCTGTTGTTTTCGATTATACGGCATATCCCCTTTGAATTGGCCACCTTTATCCAGTGAATATTAGGATGTTTCAGTAAATATGCCAAAATACACCATCGTGATTTCGTGGAGATCCATTAATCAATTACATTGCGCTGATATCAGTATCCAGCAAGAGTTTCTGATAAAAGTGTAGCAAATGTAACACAGTTCAAGAATATAATGCCACCTATAGCATGCACATCACAAACAAATTTTGATGCGAAATTTCCATAAAAGGCATACGAGGAATGTAACCTGTCATTAAGCCATCATATCAACAGACTACAACGCTACAAGGGAAACACCCCAATACTCATTGAATAAAGTTGACGCCACTTCAAAAGGTGGATATGACATATAATCGCCTCTTATATGCATTGAATAATCTTAGAAACTATTGTTTTGACAATTAGTCTCTTCCGTTACCGTCCCGCTTTGTGAAAAAGTGAGTATCAGTGCGATTGCACAGAAAATGAAGTCACTAAAAAGTATCTATTCATTGAACTAGTTTCATTTTCACTACTGATTGAAATTTCACTTTAATTTGGTTAAAATACAGTTGGAAAAAACAGACATCCATCAGTACCCATCATTCTGTTTTACGCCACATATCAAGCCAGTTTTATTTTTCACTGTGATTCTTCTGAACAGTGATAAATCACACTGATTTGGCCTGATAACGAAGAATGCACTGCATACCTGCTATGCGATTAGTGGTAGTACATGCTAAACTTGGATTGACAACCACTGGATGAATAAATCTAGTCAGTCATTCAATATGGCTTTATTCACTTCATTCAAGTATAAAGTGATAAGGTTTCAGTACACTTTCCATAACTCAAACGATAATACTGCCTTAATTGCTTTGGTTCAAATAGTTAAAAATAGTATTGCGTAAGTGAAGTTTACTTTTTGAATTAAATGGCCACATAGGTAGGAAGAGATGGTCAAATGATGCATATTAGACCACTGGAGAAAACAGCTTGTTGGAGTTTATACCAGAATATGTTTTTCAAGGCTTATCACTAATACAGGATGAGGAAGTGCATATAGCAGTAAGTCCATCACTCGTCAGGGGGTTATAATACTTCGAGTTAAACACTTTCGAACTAGTTAAACACCAAGCTTCTGAAAGTAGTCTTGCTAATGGGACAAACAACAACGCTAAACTATATGATCTATGCAGAATAAATTATTTGAGAGGATCTAGTTACAGTAGAAATAGTCAAGTTTTAAATATTACGAATTGAAAATATAATAGATGTTATTTCTTTAGGTGCCAGCTTACTTTATCCTCCTTCACTGATTCGAAATTGCTTTTAGCATTACTCAATTCTAATTCCTTAGCTTCAAGTTCTTGTTGCAGTTTAGCCAATATATGATCACTACAATTTGGATTTGGTATATTTGTCTTATGCATCTCCGAAATTTGTCCAAATAATTCACTTAGCTGATTACAGAAGATTTTCATCAATTTCCCACTACATGATTTACACAAATTCTCAATCGACTGCCAGTCTTCAAATGATAAATCACCTTTGTGTCTAATTACTTCCTCAATCAGGTATTCAACTTGTTTATGATCACATTCATATTCTTCTATCCGACTAGGTAAATAGGATTGATGGTGATCTATATCATGTAGGCATTTACTGGTATTATTAAATTTAGGGAGACAGTGTTGGTGAGGAATAGGCGGTTCATGATTTGTGAAGTGATGATGATCACGAATTTCGCTTGACTGAACGCATACCCATGGTAAGCATCCTCGGTTCAACAAATGTTCTATACGATCTAGAAATGTAAAAATAGAATTAAGTTTAAACTGTGGTTTATTTACAACATTATTCGACGTTGATAAACTGAAACTTGCAATATGTGTGAAATATGCACAAAAATGTTTACTTTTTGTAGCCAAGTATTTAGTATTCATGTATACTTTGGGGCACATATATTTATAAACTCTGATGTCACAGATTTCTTGTTTTCAAGTATCTGATTATAGGGAAAGTTTGTTAAGAAGAATTCCTTAATTATTTAGGTGGTATATATTCAGAACGCATGGAGTAGTGTAAAGGGGTAATAAATGGTTTAAACTCATGTTCGTCTAAGTTATTAAATGCTGTATAAGTTAAACTGTGAAGATGAATTAGTATTTTGACTACAACTTACTGTTCTACTAATGTAAAAGTAAATATAACATCGGCACGTTTGGAATTACTGGTATCAGAAAACTAAACTGCTTGCGTTATTAAAATTCAGAAATTTGGTAAGACAGAAACCATCCTAGTTAGTCACTTTGAAGAAGTTATTCGAGGTCATTTACTTAAATGATTTTAAAAGCACTAAATTCCCTAATCTTGATAAGAGCAGATGGTAGAATACCAGTCTTCTCTTTAGAGAAGCATATTTTCGAAAAAAATTGGTAAGATTTATGTTTAAACAGCTAGTACGAGTCTATACAATGGTGTATGCTGAAATAAACTGAGGCTGAAAATATTCCTAAAAGTAAGTAAGTCTAATGTATGTGGGTAAAACCAAATTATTTTTACGTGTAGCCTTATCCTTGTCCGATCATATTATCAAGAATAGTGTCCAGTTTTATCCTGCTCACTCTTAAATCGCCTATTATTATTTTGTTTATTCTGCAGGATTCCCTGTTTCTTCATTTTTTATATGAACTGTGACCCAATAGGAGGATATATGGTCAAAGTTTTTGAAACTTATTCCCAAAATATATTACATTTTCCGATTGACGTTACCCTTTAATAATGGTCTCCAAGTATAATGACACTTATTATTATTCCCTTGGGTTCCGAGTGGAACATAGGGCTTCAACAACACATTACTACTTTGTCCTGTCTTCTGCTGTCCTCTTCAGCTTGGACCACGATCGCCCACAATCTCTCATCTCCGGCTCCTCGCACCATCTCCTCCATGTCACCCTCTCACCAACAACCCACTTGTCGCTTCCCATTGGAATTTCACTCGAGCTATGGTCTGCATTGCGTGCGTGTCATTCGACCGTCTCCTCATTGTATGCCCGATCAGTCTCCATTTTATCTCATACATTTGTTGAGCGGTCGGCTCTTGGTTGGTTTGTCTCAAGCCACAGTATCTTGTTGCTAACTATTTCCAGCCGCCAGCCAGCCATTTGATCTTCAGTATGGAGCCAGTGAAGGCAGCTTACGATGATAGTCTACAACCTGTTGGAAATCCTTTTCGTGACACACTGGCCAAGTTTCTTACCCATATAGAAGAACACACTGACTGACTTGACATTGGTGTTGAAAATCCGAATCTCGTTCTTTATCCTGAGTGCAGAAGATTTCTAAACTGGTTTCAGGTTGATGAAGGCGTAGCTTTCCCTTCAGATTCTCTCTGGCTGGTTTTGAAATCTTCATGCGTTCCGACTGCCTGTGGTTGAAACCGCGCTTCCCAGATAAGTGAAGGAAGTAACTTCTGTCAGATGTCTCTCACTGATGGTGATTGGTGGTGGTTGGTTTTGTTGTTCGTTGGTTATCTTCATCACCTCCATCTTCTCTATGTTCACCTGTAGTCATGTCTTCGCTGGCTGCTTCTTCAGTCAGCCAGTTTGTTGCTTTTCTTCTGGAAGTCTTCGAGTTTGTGTGACATTAAACATATATCATCCACGCGCGAAATTCAGATCTTTTAGAGTCTTCTTATCGGTCGTCCAGTCTATTCCTGTTTCTTCGCTCCCAACGCACAGTCTGACGCATAATCCAGTCCACCACGTTTAAGAATATCATCGGTGATAAGAAACAGCCTGTCTTACTCTCGAAAGCCTCCCTGACTTTTCCGTTGTGACACGTGGAATTGTCATATAGCTAGCTGTTGAATGAGGTTGATAAAGACTTGGTCGCTGCATGCCGTAGTGTTGAAGTAGTTTCCAAATTACTTCTCGGTCAGTGTTGTCTGTCGAAGGCCTTTTTGAAGTCGATGAATTTGAGGCAGAGAGAGGTTTGACTGCCATTCTATGCTTTGTTCTGTGATGACGATGCGTAGAGTTGCAATTTGATCAGCACATGAAATGATGGGATTAATTGTGTGAATAATTAATTGACAGAAGTGAAAATGTTTCAAAACTGATGTGAACATCAAGTTCAGTTGTGTATATTCCATATTTTTTCCGCCTAATTCTTTTGATGTAAATAGTTTGAGAAACAATTCTATGAGAACAAACACATTCATAAACACTTCTGTATACTAAGCCTAAAATTAAAATTCTGTTGCAAGAGTGTTTAGACTACTTAAACTTTTTTCAGTAAAACTATTAGATACTTTATAAAATCTATCTAATGCGCTCGTATTTAATTATTCTAATTTACCTATCATTAATGTGTTTAATTTGTTTTATGTGTAATTATCATAAAAGTCATCTTCGTGTTATCCTAAGCTTTATTTGCATCAGTCAGAAAAGATAACGGCAAGCTATTCGAATACTCACTAATATTCCTTTTAAGAGTGAGTTTCGAGTTCAAAATACCGATAGTTTCTGAATCTGGTACTACGTTTATTGGCAGGAATTTGATCACCCATTATATTTTGAAACAATAAACATTTATTATCAATCAAATGCTGAAAAGTAATTTATATTGATCCTTTTGCTTAAATTTTATTAACTTTTCTCCTTTCACACTTTAACAAACATTTATCTTGCGTGATGATGAATATGACAGTTTCTTGTGTATTTTCATTGTGTTCATAAAATGGCATTTCAGTATTATATACTATTGAGGTCAATTTTCAGTTGAGGTAGACATATTTAAGCCGTTCTCTCTTATTTGTTATCTACAATAGTGGAGATGTGGTTCATTGATTTATTTAATCAGATTTCTGTCATTAGGTCCAGGGTTTGAGCCTTGACTCACTCAATAAGTGTGGTTTATAGTCGCGTGTGTAAAAGGCATCTGTTCTGAATAATTGAAATACCGACTGTCATTTGGAACGATGATAACCATGTTCTCAAGTTTCAGAAAAAAGTAGACCTTGACTACAATGTTCCCTGAAATTATTTTAATTCACCTTTCAGAAACAGGCTATTTCAGTTAGGTTTATCAGAGCCTGACATGGAAAAAGAATATTTTACTCAGATAACAAACATCATGATTTTCCATACTGCTCGGATGAGTGTTTATCAACTTCAGACGTTCACGGCGCTTTTTCATGTGATCTTATCACATGAAAGGAAAAAAGTTGTGTGAGTAACTTGATATGATTATGAGCAATAGTTTGTGCTCAAAACGCCATCAGTTAATATTACTGTATAACACTATGTGATTTATCAAAATAAAATCTTATCCATAATGGAGTGATCTTATCACAAGTCTAGTCTAACAACACGAGAAATTAGCTCGCTCTGTTCCTTTATCATTATTCATGCCCTGTTACATAAAGACGTGAAAAATTAATCACAAAGGTCTTACCTAGACAAGCTGAAATCATTTCGCTCGGAGTTACTTCTTCATGCTTTATTTGTATTCCCAAATATTCACACAGTTGAATCATCAGTGACGTCACCTTAGGCAATGAAAATAATATTTGACATTTCAGGATGTTGGAAAAATTAATCAGAATTACGCCCAACTTGATAATATTCAGGCTTTTAAAAAAGACGCTAAGTTAGGTCAGTCGAACCAGCAGTTGCAGCACAGTTTTCTGGGAACTTCAGTCGATCTACCAAATAACGTAATTTATTGAAGAAGAGTTTCCTGAATGGTGGCTGGAGGTGATAAAGAACCTAAGTCTTGGGATCATTCAACCTTAACTTCTCGCCTTGTCAATTTAGTGCCCTTTCAACAAGAACTTTTGACCCAAATGTTAACCAGATCCTAATTTCAATTCCCCTACTCAATAATTATTCCCAGTCTTGTTAGAATGGGACCTGTATGAATGTTTTCATCCTTTTCAAGTTCATGAAAAGCAACTTATACAGGAAATTACACATTTTTCTCCTCTAGAAGACTGATCTTCAGAATCCAGCAGTGAATTCACATTCAAGCAACTACGTTAAACTGAGTCTGTTGACTGAATAACTTTTATGTATGATTGAAAATGTGTCTTAAAAGCATAAATCTTTGTTTCCTGGTTGTAAAATTGACTACCTTACGCTATAGTGATGTCAGTGAATTTTTGTGACCATTGCTTTTCGGCCTTAATCACTTGTATATTTGTCTAACCAGTCTGCTAAAGTATTACTTTCTCCTATTTTCGAAGTCAAGTCTATGCATGAAGAAGTCTTGTGCATACCACGCTAATGACTAAGAAACACAGTGAAAATGATGTTATATCCGTAGAAACTAATTAGCTATAACCTACTGGATGTTACGATGGTGCTTACGTGTAACAACTATCTTTGATTGTTGAAACTTAGTCATACTCTTCCACAAATTAGCTTCCTATCAAGAATTCTGAATATATTTGCCGATTCGAAAAATAAGATGGTAATCAACTCAAGGTCTTTTATACTAAAGTTATTGAAAACAAATTTAATTATACAGTAAGGTCTTTGATCGAGGAAGTTATTACTACACTACTGTAATTAAACATTCAAAAAAGGTTCAGCTTCACTCTGTTCATTTAGTAGTAGTCTGAAATAATTTAACGCATGAATACAACTTACATTCTCTTTAAAAGTTTGATCCTGCTTATGTAAAAGACGAAGTCCTGTTAACTCAGACTGCATTTGAGCACAGTCTGTTTCTGCTTGTTGTACTCGTTCTCTTGCCTGTTTCAATTCTGCATTTACTGCCAAGCCAGCTTTATGTTGTGCTTCGAATTGATTTTGAAGCTCGAGAACTTTATTTTGAAAATTATTTCCAGCCTTTAAAAAAGTTTGTATAATAATTAAATCAAGAAACTAACAGATAAATACGATAACGTAATTATGGAAATTATCAGATGTAAGAACATGTTTAATTTTTCGGGCAATTTTCTTTGCAGATTAAACTGATTTAGGGTAGAATCAAAAACCAAAGGATAAATGGAAAGTTGCTTCACCAAAGTGCTGAATTTTTCACCAGTGAATTCTATTTTATCAGAAATAGTCAAGAACATATATGAAGAAGAATGTCTCTAGCATATCTGCTGAAAATTCTCACCTAAATAACCTCCTTTGTAGACTGTTTTATGACTACTGATTAAGAAAATGGTGGCTTCGATTATTTCTAGTACATGGCATTAAAACTGTGGAAATACATCTAGCCATATCAGATAAGTTTAATTGGTATTATTCGTACTGGTGTGGTACTGATAACTACTCATAAACGTATTCACACGGCTTCATAATTTGCTTCAAAATAAACTTGCCCAAATTCTACGCTTAGATAAAATACATCTAGCCAGTTAAAACTAGTACGTCGCGCTGCAGCATATTCCTGTAATCTGAAGGCTGTTACATTAACCGAATACACATAATCATGCTAAAGTAATTTAATTCTCAAAAATACACATTTTGCATGTGATATACGGGTAATGGGGCACCGGTGGTTCAGTGGTAGGTCGCTCGTAACCACCTACGTGGTTCGCGGTCCAATCCCCGGCCGACGCCCTCCTAAAACTCGCTAAGACAGTGGTAAGGCCGGCATAGAAGGGAAGTTGGGCACGAGGCTGCCCCCCCCCGCCATTAAGAATAAAAACTCTGCTACCCAAACTTCAAAGCTCTCGCTAGAAGCCCTATTTTCTACTAGACACGTAAAGGAATAAAAATAAATAAATAATATGGATAACGAAGACACTTACCTCACGCATTTGTGCAATTTGATCTAAACACCTTGCCACAGACTCTTTAACCCCAATTTCAGTCGGTTCACATGGTTTGTCAATAGTTGACAAAGATGCAGCAAGTGATGTTCTAGTATGGAATAAAACCAAGTAGTGTAAATGTAGGATTATGTCAAGAAATTAGGAATAAGTGGGATGTACACAAACATGTGTGAACCAACGGAATTATTTACCTGAAAACGTTCTGATGATAAGTCCATTGTAAACTAAATTAAATTAAAATAGCAACTTGGAACTTATTAACAATCATCTGTTCTGGACTGTTTTGAAACTTACTGGCCTTACGCACTCATCCCATCCTCCATGGACTAACTGAAATTTAAAGCGTATAATGAAGGAATTTTAACAGTTTTTCTGATAAACAAGATTTAACAGTTAGACGTTAGAGTTCATTGACCACTATATTTCGGCCCAGTGACTGAACAGTCAGCAGGCATATCGTAATATATTAACCTGGACGTCTTTGTTTCGTTCTGTTGAAGAGCCCCAAGCTAGTAGGAAACAGCAGTTTAGTACTCCCTGGTTTTCAATGGTTTACCAGTTAATGTCAGTTCTTGACCTATTTTGAAGATTGGAAGATTTAAAATTATCAAAGTAAGCCACTGGATGATATAATAATCATTTGGTATCTCAACAACCAACAACTGGCGGTTTAAATAATTTAAGTTTTAAACCAGTAACTCTTTCTTATTAGCTGCACTAAAATATTTCATTTGATTATTGGTAATATAAATGCTGACGTTTCGGTAATTTAATACATGTTCTCAAATGAGTGAAAATTGATTCAGAAATTCAAACTAATAAAGCCGTTCAGCTAAAAGTAAATGGAAAAGTCAGTTAATTCAAACCTCTGATATTTTTTCAACAGATTCATTTGTAGATTATCTGAGTTTGTTACTGCTGGATTGTATCTTCTATTTTGAATAGTTTATCAGGAAATTACTCTTTTCACTTGAAAGTCGGTCATTGCGGTAAGATATATTATTATTATTGTTTACTTTAATTCCTAGAGGAACACAGGGCTTCAGCCGTGCGTCTCCATTGCGTTCGCTTCTCTGCTAGAGTCTTCACCTGGCTCCAAGTCTGCCCACACATTTTCATCTCCACTTCACATAACCTCTTCCAAGTCACCCTTGCACTGACGACTAACTCGCCGCTTCCCTTTCGGGTTCCACTCGAGCAATGGCTTGTCTAGTGATGTCACTTGATGGTTTCCTCAGAGTATGGCCAATCCATCTCCATTTCTTCCTGCCTATTTGTTTCACAATCGGTTCCTGCTGGGTTGGTTCGCTCCCAGAGATCTCTGTTGCTGATCTTTTCTGGCCGGCCATCTGATCTTGAGTATTGAGCGAAGACAACTGTTGATGAAGGTCTGTAGCTTGTTTGGGATGCTCCTTACGACACGCTGCAATTGTCTGATCCGTATAGTAGCACCGAATTCACATTGGAGTTGAAAATCCGGATCTTATTTTTGATGCTGAGTGCTGTTGACCTCCACACAGACTTGAGAGTAGTGAAAGCTTCTCTTGTTTTCCGATTCTTGCTTTGATATCCTCGTCAGTTCCGCCTGTAGTTGAAACGATGCTTCCCTCGGTAGGTAAAAGAGGTTGTTTCTTTCAGGTTCCTCCCATTTATGCTGATTGTTGTCTGTTGTTGTTGCTGTTGGTGGTGTTGGCCAGGAATCTTCATCACCTCTGTTTTCTCTATGTTCACCTGAAGTCCTATCTTCTCCGGATGCTTGTTCTGCCAACTTGTTGCTTTTCGCTTGCATATCTTCCAGTTTGTGGGAAATCAGACATATATCATCGGCGAAGTCCAGATCCTCCAAGTTTTTTGTAGTAAAAACATTCTCTTATTAATCGACACAGATATGAAGTTTTAAAAAAATTGATTGCTTTACCAGTTGCTGTCATCCCAAGAAACTTGCTGTTTCTTCAATCAGTCTACAGATTGATCTAATTTGGTGTTTTGGGTATTTATTGGTTTGTGTATGTGGGAGTTTGTGAAATGTAACATGTTAGACTGCGCTAAGACAGGGCTGATTTGTTGGTGTCTGCATAACAATATAATGCCTACGTAGCATTATTTACTATGATTGCAGCCTCATGGTTTAGACTGAGTTTATTTGCAGAATATTAGTTACGAAAGCCTATTTGATTGATTTGGCTCCTAGTTCTTATTGAATCAGTTGGTTAAAATACTTTTTACCTGGTCCTAGCTATTGAAATTCTGCACAGCCATATTGGCTAATAGATGATAAGGTTAAAAAGGAGTTGGTGGTAGTCATACTAGAACCTGGTGCAAAATTAAAGCATGGTGCGGTTTCCGTGAGTCATATGAGTTGAAAGAGGTTGTCTAGCTAGAGTCTTCCGGCAGCGTAGTGATTACTACACATTAATTGTTTATTTCCTGCTTCATAAGAATTATATCAACATTGTTTGAAGGTTACAGTACAATACCATAATCCTCAGTAAGTGAATATAATTGTTCAAACAGTGATACGAAGTTTCAGGGGGAAGTTCAAGCTAAACGGTTTTCAAAGAAACACTCAGCTGGAAGACCACTCTTTATTCATTAGTCAGCGATTGTAGGGTTAACATTTAGGATTGTGTTGAACTATAAATTGACGCTTTGCAAGAGGTCAAGGACAGTAGCCCAAGTTACAGCCAGTGACGTGATACAGCGATGTCTTACCAACATTCCAATTTCATTCTAGTATATATGTGTTGTTTGACCGCAAAATGTAGCGAACTCACCTAATACGATGAAAATATCTCATCTGTTCAAACTGCACAGAAGATAAAATCATTTCAGGTCAAAACTTTGTCACTGCAGAATCTTGTCAACACACTAAATGAAGCAAATAACACCTGTGATATGGAAGTCATTCCTACCTGACATTTAAGCTAGGCATAGAAAGGGAAGTGGTTCGGTATGTCGATCACATCAGTTGATAAGAAAGTCACATTTACTCCAACGTACTGGATGTTGATGGAATTCTGGAAGGATAAACAAGGGTTACTCGTCATTGGTCAACGTGAATCATGTTTCACACAGATGACATCCGATCAATGATCAAAGCATATGTGTAGTGTACAGCAGTGTTTTCCTCCCTACTTTGCAAATTTGACACATGGCATATGGAAGCAAAAAGAAAGATAGTGATTAGATGTTCCCGACAGTGAATATTTTCATTCATTTAAGCTTATAATATATCTAGCGATATGGCATGCTCTAGTGAGATGTCACACAGAGGGTTGTAGTGGGACATCGTTGAAGAAGGTGGCTGGAACATGTGCTGCGCGTAGGCAACTACTGCATCTCTAGCTGGATAATACTGTGGTAGAACAACATCGTAGAAGAGTTGAAGGTGATAGGAACCAGATATGATACCAGGCGGTGAAGCCACTAATGTTTAGTCTGACTTCCTTAGGGAGCGGGGGGCGAATAGCTCGTTTAGAATCCTCAGAGGGCTAAGAGTCAGCGGTTGTGAACACTTCGTGGGGTGTCTTAAAATCGGCCGTAGTAGTGCGGGTGGACTTACCCTTTGTCACCACACAAACCCTGTATATCTTCAGTAGTCTTCATCTAATTACTTTTGTGTTATCTGACTCACATTTCCCCACACATTATGCATATGAACACTTACTTCTGTCAGTAAATTTAAAAACACCATTTTCAGTCCTTTGATTATTTTATATACTGGAAGGTCACCAGTAGATAATTCAGTTTTTAAAAACATTATTTATGAAAGGTTTCCATTCTTAAGGGAATCAAATAATATATATAGCGTATCTAAGAGTCAATTGCAACGCCACCTTAACCGTGTGTTTTAAGTTAACATGGAATTCAACGTAACTAAAGAAAAATTAAAATGGCAGCTAATTAGTCTCAAATAATTTCTAGTTAAAATTGTTTACCGATGGGAAGCGATAAGTGGGTCGTTGATGCGAGAGTCACATGGAGGAGATCGTGCGAGGAATGACAGGTGAGAGATTATGGGCAAGACCAAATAGAACAAAGTGGAGATGTGTTGTTGAAGCCTTATGTTACACTCGGAACCCAAGGGAATAATAATAATAATATAATAAGTTAAATTCGAAGGTTAAATAACTATGACTTACAGTAATGCCTTCATTTGTGCACTTTCAATTTGTAACTTGAATGTGGTTTGTTTACTTTTCTCTTCAATGGATTTTTTAGTATCTCCTAACTCTTCTAATTGCTTCTGTAAATCTTTAATGATGGTCTCCTTAGCTTGTGACATGTTTTTTAGCAGTGTCAACTGAGACAGTAAGTCTTCATTTTTCGCTTCAAGCAAATTGATTTTCTGTTTCAGAATAAGACATTATTATTGATAAAAAAATGCAAATATTCACATTTAGTATGGAGTAAATTTAACTACGTGTTATTAAAAATAAGTAAATGTTATCAGTGCGCTGATATTTACCTTGTAGCTTAAAAATCCCCCAATGATTCATATGAAAAAGAGAAGACGTTTAGCAAAGAGACACTTTCGGCGAATTAATTCACACAGCTGGAACATTTTGTGTGAAAAAAGTTTAGCTCATTTCTGATTTCACCTTCCACCTATTCTTTGCAAAGTAATATCTGTCAAAAGTCACTTCTGGCTCTAAAAATGTGACTTAGTTTTGAAAAACTCAGCTTACAGCTTACCTTCCAATAAATTGTTTTAGAAGTGATATAATATTCTTTAAGCATTTCTTTGGATAAAAATAACTGCGGTTGAAAAAGAAAATTATATGAAGGGGGAGAATATTTTCGCTCTGATTTTGTGTAAAGTATGTGAAGATTGTTACCGGATGACTTCAAAAAGACTTATTGAGGTACCATAATGACTACAGCTTTAATAATCCAAGTACCTTTAAACTAATACCTGTTATCATAGGTACTTAAAACTCATTTAGGGTAATTATCCTTCAAGGTTGCAGATACGCCTTGCTGACGAGTGCCAAGTAGCACGAAACCTAGGTCCAAGGCTTCCTGCCGATTGCCTCCAACCATCTAATACCAATAATTATCATAGGAAACTAATACTTCACAAGTTCTTTATTATAAAAGCTTTTGTATTTACCAATGAATGAAAAACAAAACGATATTGTTTTTACTGACATTTCGCTAATTAATGCCTCTAATGGCTTCATCAATGTATTATTAAACCAGAATTTACAAAATCTCAGCTTGTGTATAACAACTTAATCATAATTCATCTGCAAAGGGTTATATTTGCGTTGTCAAGTTGGTCAACCAGGTGTAGATTATTGGATTTGATAAGTGTATAAAATTATAAAAGCAGAGTGTGTTTACATAACGAAATTGCTTATCACATTCTTGTTGATTTTATCGTTTCATGGGGGCGGGAGGGGTGCTGTAACCAGGTCAAATTCTGTTTTACTCCATCATTCCTATTCAGACAATTTGGATTCCATTTGATATTAAACGTTCTCAAGTTCTGTTTATTTATTTTCTAAAACTGGCATATTCTTATGCTTGTGATAGTAATTTTAGTTCATAAATGTATAATTGTATAAACAACGCTGAAAAAGTCTTACTGATTTCTTATTTCTCACTTGGCTGACTATCCGTAGTGATAAGTAATACCAGTACAACTTTTGTTTGTTAAACTTTAGCCTCCCTTCCTACTTATTATTCAGATCACTGTGAAGCTACTTATTACACAATACTCGGATTTATATTACTACCGGATGTATTCATATTTTCCATGATTAAAAATGTTCCCATTTTAAAGCTCATAAAGCCTCAGAGAAAGTAGTTATTATCGGAACTTTTTTATCTTATCAGTTACAGATAATTATCCATGTCTTACTTGCTACAACAGTCATTTCGGAAACGATGTCAGAAATAAAATTCAGACGTTTACACAACTAACAAATCACCGTCATATTTATCTGTTATATACGTATGTATGTATGTTATCTAAGTTCAAAGAAGTGTTAGTTACAGCAGAAACTAAAATCTGAGGCATGATTAAGTGTTAAGATGAACAGCTGTTAGTCTATTTCAACCTCAGTTATCTCTCCATTAAGGTCAAGCCCATTGAATCAAAATGGTTTAATGATGACATTCGTAGCTAGAAGAAGATTTTCATACACTTAGTGAATGACTTAGCAATTTTAAAAAAACATGCATAACACAAAATGAACTGTCTTACTTCACTTTGTACTTTTCTTTCTTGCAGGTAATCTTCACTTCTCTTAGTCATCCCTTGTGTACTTTGTTTCAGTGTATCAAGTTCAGTAATAGCCCTTTTTAGGTTCGATTCACTTTGTATATACTTGAATTCAAATAATGCTGCTTCATCAAGAAGCTGGGTAATCTTAGAAGTAGAAATTGAGGAAAATATGGTGAATTAATTTCACATAATAACATATATTTTAAGAACTCTACGTTGGGCGATCTACAGTGGTTTCAAATGACTCCAGATAACTACATAATACTATAGGCTTATGGTTTAAGACATGTTGCCGGGCTATTCAAATACATTTGAATAATTCTGTCCAAATATTAGTTCTTTTCGAATGCTGTGTATTCTGAATAACTGAGCAAAATACCTTATACTGTCAGCCATATTATAGGAGCATATCACTGCAATAGGCGTTTACCTGTTTTATACAATAACGCCCTGTGAAACTGATTCCTTTATTCGTTTATATGCAGGCTTGAAGCAGTATAACTGTATGAATTTATTCTAGTTTGTCAGTTGAAAAAGTTGTTCTGAAAGTTAATATAAGTACTCGAGGATTTTTGTGTAAACATTATCACTGTATTATAAAGCGAATTCGCACAAAAACAGATAGAAGTCCAAGTCAAAGACAATTTACGACTATGAATAGTAAACCCCCATATTGTTGTAACAGTGGATTGGGTTTTAGAGGGAAGTTGACTTTCATCAGGTAAACCATCGGTTTTATACCTTTATCGCAATGACATTGGGATTTTTACCCATGGTAATACTTGATATTGGCTATCTGTGGGAGCGAAAGTGCGTGTTTCATCCTACTGTAGATCACAAATAGATTAATCCGCCTTAAAATAACTACTGGTGTTTATATTGAAACCCACATCTACATATTCTGAATACAGACACCACAGTATTAATGAATTTCCTGCAGACGAATGCAAGCCTCATTTTGGGCAAAAAATAGGACCTCTAAACATTTGATTTACCCATATGGGTTTTGGGGACTTCCATCAGTATGTTGCTTTCTGTACATCGGTGGGTTTTTTTTAACTGAGGATCTTCGTACTACTGCAGCTAAATAAAGAATTCTGAGGACAAGACGCTTACAGGACAATATTTAAACGAGAGAAATTAACAGCCGGAAATATTCTAGCTCTAAAAATGAATCCCAGTTTATTGCATTTTACTTATGTTATAGAGGAAGTAATTTTGGATAAGTTTGAAGAAAATTCTAAGCACTCACTGAGACAAAAATACCACCTAACTGCATTGATGATAGTTGTCAAAGTTTAAGACGAATTCCTTTCAGTGAGGAAAGTGTTTTACAGTAAAGCCAGCTGCAGTGCGAAATTAAGATCATGTTCGTGTCAGTTAATTGTATTCATTTAATTCATTTATTCGTCTGCGTATCAGGCTTCTAGGAATTCCCTGGATCTACCTAAAGTTTCCACGTTTTTCTAGGTAAATTAATGTCCAGAGTTGTTGTTGATTGCCAAACATGAAAATTACTAAGTTTTATTTCCACATGGTACTCGTTTGCATTCTTTAAAAGCTTTGATTTAGAATTACTTACTTTTCCCATAAGGTCATTGAAATCTGCTTTTGTATCTGATAAACCAATTCTACGTCCTAATTCTAACCGAAATTCATTAGACTCCTTGACCATGTTTCTGAGTTGTTCTTGCTCTGAATTTTGATTAACTGTCAAATTTCTGAACAAAGAAATAGAATTAGATTGAAAAAGATTTAATTACATTGAGTGAAATAAAAGGAGATGTGTTCAAAGTTCAAACAATTTATTCTTTACAAAGCGTAACTTCTATGCAAGTAGAATACCTAAATTTACACGTTAAACAACTGAATGAAATCCTCAACTTTAACCTTACTTTAAGCTTATTTAGAAACCTTAGTAAAAATTAAGAATTTCTCAAATAGTATAAGGAAAACGGGTAAAAATGTGTACGCTGTTTCATTTTTGTTGTACACCTTTAAATTTAGCATTTTATCCTGGATGGGATCACCAATAATGCTCGAATTTCCTACTTATTTTTTATGTGAAATCTTTTAAGACCAGTTTCTGATTGTTTCATAGACCTATAAGTTACTGTTTCTGAAGTTTATTCGGCATGATTATTCAATTCGACTGGTCACGGGTAAGTCGTTAACATACCATTTTCCCGGACGGTTATTTAGGCTGGATAACTTTGAAATAAAGTTCTGTAATTATTCTGTGGATATATACTTGCACATTTCACGCACTTTGGTTTTCACGTAATAATCTAACACTGTCATCAGTATCTTAACTATCAAACTTGTTAGCTACGCCTGTGTATTTCTATTACTGTTGGTTAGCTATAGGTATTTCTAACACGTTTGCTTTAGATGTAATTTGCATGACAAGAATGTTATCGTTGATGCACACAGAAAAGTTTAAATTACTTTACATTGTCTAGTTAAATTTTATCGAATATGTTGAGACAGAGAGGAGGCATATTTTAAGTCACTCTTTCCTGTGTGATGAGTAAACCATACATTTCGACTTAGCCTAGTTCAAAGTCGATGTCATTGAATTTAATTGGTACATCACTACCCGGCCAAAGCACAGTGGTTATATTTTAAAATTATGATTTGTTATTCATGTAAAATAGCAATTTAAATAATTGTTTTCTGGTCAGTTTGCCTTTTCTTGGAGGAACAAATGATGTCTTATCAGTTTCCCTTCAGTGACTTCTCATTGTCAGGATGCATTGGTTCATAGTCTGAACAACTTCGGTTTCCAAAGGGAACTGTAGTGAAACTTGACAGCGAACTGTGTAAATCTCAAATTAATTTGCAAATTGTACACTAGATTCAGCGGTTTTCCTAGTTTGTAGTCAATCAGATAGAAGTAACCTAAATAATGTGTAATCCGGCCATTTTAAAATGCCACTAGATCTCAAGTATTGCAGAAAAACACTTAAAATCCTTCTGCTCTGTTATTTGATTTGAAATATCCAAGTGAAATCCAAGACTTCTAGGGATGTAGTTGTATAATCTGTACATGGCTTGCAGTTTTCGCTCTACTAAGAAAACTGACTACGCTAAAATCATATCTAAAGAGTACGTTTTATCACCTGCTTATCAGTATATGTCAACTAAGCATAAACATTCTCACTATAGGTTTGTGGAAGAATAAATGGGAATATTATTTTGTGCATTGTCACACTTCGTAATATAAGCGTTGAAAGTAATATAAGTGATGCAACTTACCGCAAACGTGTCTCCAACTGAATTACATTATCCTGTGATTCCCGAGCCACCTTCTGCAGTCCTATGACAGCGGCTTGACTTCGATGTTTCAGTAATTCATATGTGTGTAAACTACTCTCCAAAGTTTTAATTTTGTCTTCATATACTTTATTTTTTTCATTTGCATCCTTCAATGCTTTCTCTGTTAATTCTAGCTGATTTTTAGAAAGACGTGCTTCTTCACGAAACTTTTCTTTCTCATACTCTGTTTGGTGATACTAAGAAACAAGACGATGAATATTAGTAAATTTGGTAAAATGTCTTAATGTTCTTGAAATAAAGCGTAGATGCTCAAATCTTACGAAGTAGATATTTAAATAGTTCGACATATGACTGCTCTATCAGTGCCACAGTTAACGGTAAACACCTTTGTTTTAATTGTGAACATTATCAAATCCTAGAGACACTTTTTACGAACAAGATTATATGCGTGTTAAGTTGTGCAATCTGCTCTTCCTCATTTTCATGTAACTTTCACAAAAATCAAATAAAACAACTATTCACTCTCAAAATATCGAAACGTCATCAGTGATGCACAAGTACTAAAATTCTATTTTTCATGACTTGCAACATTTTTTGTTGTAGTCTGTAATGTAAAATAGGTCTATTTTGTTAGAAGTTTCATAAAAGCTAGTAATGTTTCCTATTTCACTATAAGAGTTACCTGAGGATATTCTTATTTAAGTCTTTTGAGTGATATGAGATGTTTGTTATTTGGTTAATCACTGTATGAACGATTGAAGATGTCAGTGATTAGGAAATTCCATGGTAGAAGCCATACTTTGGATTCCTATTTTTCTCACTTGTTGATTACCATATCTGCTTATTGCAGCTTGGCATACCTTTTAAAATATAATATCCATTTGGTAGTCTTAATTTTTCATAAAGGTACTTCGTTATATTATCCATACTGAATTCCGATGGCTGTTTTGTATACAGCCACAAGCAGAATATACAGAAAAAAGTGAATGATATTTAGTGAGCATTAACTAAAATCAGTCTGGAAATCTACTGCACTAAGCATGAATAACAAGGTTCCGATTTCCAAAGACTAACATCATATTAGTGCTTCTATATGGTTCAGAGGCTTGGTAAGTCACCAAAAGTATTTCGAACAGGCTTCAGACTTTTATCAACGGCCACCTTGGTCAAAAAGGACAAGCAGCAGACTCTAGCAAGGTATCCATCAAGAACCTATTGATCAACAAATGTGCTGAAGGAAATGGAGCTGAAGGGGATACACGCTAAGGACACTATTGGATGACATCATGAGACAGATCGTCGAGTGAAACCCGAATGGGAAACGACGATTGATGTGGAGGAAATCGTGTGAAAGCCTATGGGTAATCGTGGAGTGGATTGCACAGAGTAAGATGAAATGGAGGCGTGCTGTTGAAGTCTTGTGTTTCACTCAGAACCCGAGGGAATAAAAATAACAGTTAACGCTGATAAAGGTGACTACATCTGTTATGGTTTTCACAGTTATTTGTATAATGTCTGAGCATCTAGTGAATCATGAGCAGTGTAAGCAATAAACAACCCTGTCGTAACAAAATCATGAAGCTCCAAAGGCAAACTTTTGTGTTTACTAGTCTGCAAATATAAAATACTGCAGGTCTAGCTTCGTAGCGTTTTTACACGACATTTGCTAGGAAGCACTGAGTAACACCTATTCTCACCACTACTTGTAATACATCAAATAAAGAATAACAACAAACTAGTTATTCAATGGTTTGGTCATCCAACAAAATATATCACCATATAAAGTTTGTGACATTTAACTAAGCCGTCATTCAGAATCAACCTTGAGATCATTCAGTTCTGAGAAGAATAAAAGTGAAATTTTAGGAACTTTAATATAGTTTTCTATTTCGCCGTAAAACAGACTAAATCTTTTATCCTCTCCTATGCTGATAATACTTTCATCTGTTAGGATCTTAAATTACCTTGAAATTTCATGTAATGTTGTACTGATTTGAAAGCCCAAAGACTCAATTAATAAAAACATACTGTTTATTATTTTATACTAACCTTCTCTTGATACGTTTCAGCATTAAGTTTGTATAATGCAAGATCTTTAATTGAGTCTTCTGTCATGTAGCTAGGTGGTAGTCGTGGGAAAATGCAAATGTGATTGCTTTCTGGAGCGTTTTACAAACTCCTGATTTGTTGAAGGTCAATTAAAGGCATAAAAGCAAAAACAAAAATAGCCTTTATCTCTGTAAAGTTATTAGGAAGTTGAAATCTAGCACTCCGACCCTTCAAGTTAGTTCAGACAACAAAAATGAGGTATTTTGCTATGTGTCACTCTGTAAGCGTCTAGAGGAAAAAAAGTAATTCAAACCAAAATCGGAATTTTAAAATCGTAAAAATGTATAGTCACTGTTTTATTGTTCAGTGTTAATTCCTATTTGCAGTGTGAAGATAGGAGTTTTAATATATATAAATATATATACGCGTCGGTGGCAGAGCAGTAAAGTGCTCACCGACAGCGCATGTGGTCTGGGGTTTGATCCCCGGCCACCTACTTACTGCTTTACCTCACTAAGCAATTAGTAAGACTGGTTAACGGGGAAGGGTGGATATGAGGCTAGCAACACCATCCCGTAAAATCAGACACCACTGCTATTAAGGACGTTTTAAGGCAGTCAAAACATATCACGTAGAAACGCAATCTAGCTGCATTCAGTCAATTATTCGTAGTAAGTGAGTAAGTTGAAAACCTGTGTCGTGTTAGCAATTTTTCAAGGGCTGCAGTGTGAAATTCAAAAATACATTTGCTCGTGTCTCCAAAAGTGATCCAACGTAATGCAGATATCGAGATAAATATCAATTTATTCCTCTGCCAAGGAATATATATATCATTATTAAAAATCGTAACAACATCCAATAAGGCTAAAAACTCCGAAACCAGCCTACAAATCGCCTAATTTTAACTCATAATTTGTATTAGAAACCTAAAACAGAAAGGAAAATTTCCCACTACTTTTATCTTAATACGTATTCAGATAAAAGTAAGAAACATTTGGTTTTCGTCCTAATTTTTACATGTTTGTGGATTCACTAAACTCATAAAAATAGCTTGCTACATGAAGCTCATATATGAAAGTTTATTATATGTTCTATGTCAAGTAGCTATCGAAATGTGAAAAGTGTATTGTTCTGTCTACTTTCGTTGACCGTTTCTTCTTTGAGAGGAGTCACACAAAAATCCGCCCTTGGTGAAAATTTTTGGATACACTTTAAGACTTACTAGAGCACTGAAAACTCTTGCAGACGTCAGTGCCCTTACTTTTTCAGAGGATCCCATGGGATATACAAGTGCACATACTATTCTGAAGAGGAATAAACTATTGTATGACTCTTCTGCTTCTAAACAATTTAATCTAAAATACGTAAAAGTCTAAGACCATACCATACCAGAACAGTCGTCAAGCATATGTTGGAAGATACTTGCAGGTATCTCCAAATACGAACTCTGACTTAGGCCACGAAATTGGTCAACTTTAGGCTCAGATTTGTGCTCACATATTGATTCCTGAGCACACATGCTCACAGTATAAATACATTTTCAATTTGTACTAATATTCACCTTTAGGAAGGTCACATTTAAAATGCCTCTGATGTTTCCAGGGTTACAAGACTCACTGGTACATAGATAAACACAGTAGTTGTGAAGAATATTTAATGACTGAGACAAAAATGCGGTGTTCATAACTCCATATTCTACTATTTCGTGGTGTTTTTGTGCTCTAGAAAACGAATAATTTAGCCCTGAAATGATCGCTTCAGATTCCATAAATCACGATAAGGTCTTGTAACTGTGTTCAATATCCAATGTCGTTTTCACGAGCTAGTATAAACAAATTTGATTTCTTTGTGCTCGCCTCCTGGTTGTGAGGTATAGATTCCTGATCTTCGATAAACTTCTGCGTAGCTCCTCCTGCCACTCGACTGTGGTAGCTTCGGTTGACTCCCAAAGGAGGAGTGCTGGGATTAATTATATGTGGTTTGTAGTATGCGGTGTGTGTAAGGACGTTACTACTGTGAATGGAGTTGATTCTTTCACCAGTTAATCCTCCAGTATCGTCATCAAAAGAAAAGAGACGATAATAATAGATATAATTAGTGGTTATTCAGACTAAAAGACAGAAAAAGAATAAGAAAACGTAACAACAGTCGGCTGATTAAATTTGAAGAATAATACGAATAATATATATCGGTATTAATGACAATAATTATAATAGGCGTAGTTAAAGTTGTCAGGAGAGTAAGACGGGGGAGAATATAAAGAAGTAAAACGACCAGTTTAATTGTCTACCACTGAATGGTGTATGCGATTTTAAGGGGATAGGCCATTTGGATGCAGTCCTTGCATGGTTGTCCAGCCTTCACTTAAAGGCGTCCACAGACGGTGCCATAGCTACATCTGCCAGCAAGGAATTCCAGGGACGGCAAACCCGCAGGGAAAAGAAGTGGGAGCGCACCCGGGTTCTTGCCCTCTGATGAGCTATCCTTCTAGGATTTCTACGAGGGTGTCTGTACCTGCTCAATGGTAGAACACCTTTGTTTGGGTGATTCTGATCATTTTTTATTTTGTAGGCAGTAATTAAATCCCCCATAAGGCGACGGTAACTGAGTGTGAATAGGCCTAATTTCTTCAGCCTTTCATCATATGGTTTATTTCGGAGTCCAACCACTCCTTTTGTTGCCCATCGTTGGACTTTTTCCAAGAGGTTGGCGTCTCTTTAAGCAGTGGGGATGCAATGATATTATACACTTCAAGATGCGGTCTGACGTATGTTTTATACAACCTTAGAAAGAGCTCAGGAGTGAGTGCACCTAATTGTCTATGTGTAAAGTGTATGACCGCATATGCCTTCGATACATCCCCCGTGTAATTTACGCTTATGTCCATTTTCTCCGTTAGAACTAGACCTAAGTCACGTTCCGACGTTGTGAAGGACAAGCTTTCATTGCACAGGGTGTAACTTGCCTTCTACAGTCTACAGGTGCGTAACTTCACTACTTAGCACTTTTTCAGGTTGAAAGTCATGCCACTGGCCACCGCCCACTCTTCTAGAAACCTTAGAACTGCCTGCAGTCTATCTGAGTCCTCCGGACACATTATCACCCTCTATATCTTCAAGTCGTCAGCGTATAGAAGAGTCGGGCAGCTTAGACGGCATGGTAGATCATTGATAAGAATCAAGAACATCAGTGGTCCCAGGTTAGAACCCTGCGACACTCCTGATGACGAGCTGTGCCAAGATGATCGGACTCGATTGACCTTGGTGCAAAATTGCCTTTCAGTTAGGTAGTCCTTCAACCATGACAGAAGTGGTTTACCTATACCTACCTGGCTTATTTTGTGTAGGAGAAGGTCATGGTGAACAGTGTCAAATGCCTTCTCAAAGTCTAGAAAGATCACATGGACTGGAACATTCATATCCCAACATGATGTCCATTCAACCCAAGCTGATAATAAGTTAGTGACGCAGGATCTGCCTTTCCTGAAACCGTGTTGGGCTTCATGGAAAATACTAGACCTATCGAAATAATCCATGATGTGATCATCAATAATACTTTCCAGTACTTTCGATACCACTGGGAGTAGAGGTACTGGTCTATAACTGGTGGGATTTTGCCTATCCCCACCCTTGAAGATCGGAGAAAGGATGCTTCTTTTCCATTCCTTTGGCAGTTTCCCTGATGCCATGGAGTGTTGGAACAAGTCGCATAAAGGCCTACAGAGAGCTTCGGCGCACTGTTTCAGAACAGATGGCCTGATGTCATCACAACCTGGGGACTTTCCAGGTATGAGTCGCTGCAGCTTTCTCAGTACTATTGCAGGGTTTATTCGGGGGGTGGCTGTTTGGTCTTCCTCCTGTGAGATAGTGATGCCACCATTTTGATCCGTAACGGGAATACCCACATTGCTGTTTAGCTGTTTGGCGAAGGCTAAACTAAATGTTTCAGCCATCTCCAGACTAGTGAGATATTGACCGTTTTGGCCTACTAAGGCGCACGCCCCCTGGTTGGTTGGTTTCCTTTCCGACATGATTCGGTACAAATTTTTGGGGTTTGCCAGGAGTTTTTTAGCAAGGTTAGCCTGGAATGACCTCCTGTCCCTCCTGACTCTTGCATTGCATCGGTTCCTGAGTTCCAGGTATGCAACATGGTCCATCTGGCTTTTAGACACGCGCCACGTAAACCAAGCCTTCCGCTTAGCTTGCAGAATACGCTGCGTGCCTCTCTTTAACCATGATGACTTTCTTTTGGGCTGTATTGTGACTAAAGGGACGGTATCCGAGATTGCTGTATGAATAATCTTTTCTACCGCTTCCCAGTGTTCATCCACAGACAGCTCATCCCCTGCTAAGGGACAGTCTGCATCGGACAAGAGCCTCCGCACTTCAGCATAGTCAGCCTTGCTATAACACAGACATGGTTGCGTAGCGTCCCACTGCAAATGCTCGCGGATAACGAGGTCAAAACCTATGACTGCATGGTCACTACTTCCTAGATGAGTCATGATCTGGACCTTTTCAACGAGTGGTTGGTCACTAGTTAGAATGTAGTCTAGTTTTGATGACTTTTCACTGGGGCCCCACCTAGTGTCGTCTCCAACATTCTCAGTCAGTCCTGTATTTCGAGTAGTTTGCAGTAGATTTCGGCCAAATTTTCCCTAGGCATACCCCGAGCCAAGGTTCACTGATGGGGCATTGAAATCTCCAGCAATGGTGATTCGGTCATAGCCCAAGTCTCGTATCCCTGTGATAGTGCTGAGCAGTAGCTGATTGTGCCCTGCCCCACAGGTGGGAGATCGGTAGATGCCACCAAGTAAATGCTTGGTGTGGCCTACGGTGAAATGACACCATATGGAGTCCGAGAGTTCAATAAGTGGTGGGTCCGTTGCGCGCACACATTTAAGTTGCCTATCAAAGTATATGGCAACTGCCCCTCCTTCCTTATTATCCCTGTCTCTCCTGACCAAAACCATATCACTCATACTGATTTCGTTATCGGCGATAGTGGGGGTTAGCCATGTTTCGGTGAGAATGATCATTTTCAGTTGTAGGTGTGCTTGGAGATTT